ATTTCTATACTTCTGAATGTTCCAGTGAGCACTGTTGGGGCCATAATCCGGAAGTGGAAAGAACATAATTTCACCATAAACCGGCCACGACCAGGTGCTCCTCACAAGATTTCTGACAGAGGAGTGAAAAGAATTAACAGAAGAGTTGTCCAAGGATCCAAGGATCACTTGTGGAGAACTTCAGAAAGACCTGGAATTAGCAAGTACAATTGAATTTGAATTTTGAATTTTGAATTTCAAAGAAAACAATAAGTAATGCACTCAACCGCCATGGCCTGTATGCACGCTTCACCACGCAAGGCTCTATTGCTGAAGAAAAAGCATGAAGCTCGTTTAAAGTTTGCTGCACAACATTTAGACAAGCCTGTGAAATACTGGGAGAATATAGTCTGGTCAGATGAGACAAAAATTGTACTCTTTGGATGCCATAATACACACCATATTTGGAGGTCAAATGGCACTGCACATCAGCCCAAAAGATCATGGCGTAGCACTGGCAAAATTAATATAATTGAAGAAAGGATGAATGGAAAAATGTACCAAGACATTCTTGATAAAAATCTGTTGCCATCTACCAAGATGATGAACATAAAATGAGGGTGGACATTCCAGCGAGACAATGATCCCAAACACACAGCCAAGGAAACTCTCATTTGGTTTCAGAGAAAAAGTAAAGCTTCTAGAATGGTCCAGCCGATCACCTGACTTGAATCCAATAGAAAATCTATGGAAAGAACTAAAGATTAGAGTTCATAGAAGAGGCCCATGGAACCTTCAAAATTTGATGACTGTTTGTGTGGAAGAATGGGCCAAAATCACATCTGAGCAATGCATATGACTAGTTTCTCCATACAGGAGGCGTCTTAAAGCTGTCATTACCAACAAAGGCTTTTGTACAAAGTATTAAATAAATTTCAGTAAGCAAGTTTTGAGTTACGAAAGAGAATTGTTAGATTACACAGAACTTAATTTCTGAATTTATTTGTATTGTTTTCTTTATATGTATGGATTACTTAGATTGTTGCCGACATCTGGTGAAAATTTAATGTCAACAGCACCTTTAGAAATATATTTACCAAAAAAAACGTAATATTATTACAATATAAAATAATGGGTTTCTATTTTAATATACTTTCAAATATTACTTCTTTTTACATTTACATTTAGTCATTTTGCAGACGCTTTTATCCAAAGCGACTTATAATTGGGGAATACATAAAGCGATTTTTCTTAAAGAGGCAAACAGACACAGGAAGTGCTTGTAGTACCAAGTTTTAGGCATTGTTCAAATAAGTAGAAGCTAGAAAGGGAAGGAATAAATAAAGAGAAAGACAACGTTTTATTTTTTTTAGGATGAAGTCAAGTAGCATGAAAGAGATGAGTTTTCAGCTGTCACTTGAAAATTGTCAGGGATTCAGCATTCCGGATAGGGGTGGGAAGATCATTCCACCAGCCAGGAATGGTGAACGAGAATGTTGTGGAAAGTGATTTTGAGCCTTTCTGTGATGTTACAACGAGGTGTCGCTCACTAGTGGATCTCAGACTTCTGGAGGGGATGTAGATTCGTAATAGTGAGTGGAGGTAGGCGGGTGCTGAGGCTCTGGCTGTTCTGTATACAAGCATCAATGTCTTGAACTTGATGCGAGCCGCAACCGGTAGCCAGTGCAAGGAGATAAAGAGAGGTGTAACATGGGCTCTTTTGGGCTTGTTGAAGACCAGTCGTGCCGCTGCATTCTGAATCATTTGTAGAGGTTTGATTGTGCTTGATGGAAGTCCAGCCAGAAGAGCATTGCAGTAGTCCAGCCTAGAAATGACAAGGGCCTGGACAAGAAGTTGTGCAGCATGCTCCGTTAGAAAGGGCCTGATCTTTCTGATGTTGTGCAATTCAAACCTGCAAGATCGAGCAGTCTTTGCAATGTGGTCTTTGAAGGTCAGCTGGTCATCAAAGATTACACCAAGATTTCTGACCGAAGTTGATGGGGTAATTTTAGCAGAACCTAGCTGGATGGTGAAATCATGCTGTAGAGTTGGAGTGGCAGGAAAGACAAGAAGCTCAGTCCTTGCCAGGTTGAGCTGGTGGTGATGTTCTTTCATCCATGCCGAGATGTCCGCCAGGCAGTCTGAGACCTGAGCAGCTACCGTTGGAGCATCTGGTTAAAATGAGAGATAGAGCTGTGTGTCATCAGCATAGCAATGGTAGGAGAAGCCATGTGCCTGTATGATGGGACCCAGTGATGTAGTGTATATGGAGAATAAGAGGGGTCCAAGAACTGATCCCTGACCAGTGACCAGTTGATATGCTTTGGATACCTCACCTCCCCCGGCCACCCTGAAAGACCTACCAGTGAGATAGGATTCAAACCAGCTAAGTGGAATCCCTGTGATGCCCAGTGATGAGATGGCGGACAGGAGGACCTGATGATTGACAATGTCAAAAGCAGCAGATAGATCCAGCAAAATAAGAACTGATGATTTGGAATCAGCTTCCGTGACTGACATAGCACAGTCTCAGTTAAATGGCCACTCCTGAAACCTGACTTGTTAGCGTCAAGTTTGTTGTTCTGTGAAAGAAAAAAATACCTGGCTGAAAACAACTTGTTTGAGGGTTTTCGCTATGAATGGAAGGAGGGAGACAGGTCTGTACCTATCTGTAAGTGAAGTGTTTAATGTAGGTTTTTTGACCAGTGGGGTTACCCGAGCCTGCTTGAATGCAGTGGGGAAGGTGCCTGTGAGGAGAGATGTGTTGATGATGTGTGTGAGTGCTGGTAAGAGTGTAGGAGAGATTGCTTGGAGAAGGTGTGAGGGGATTGGGTCCAGAGGACATGTTGTAGGATGGATGGAGAGGAGAAGTTTTGATACTTCTACCTCAGTGAGGAGAAAGAAGAAGAAGAGGGGAGTTATAACAGTGGATGTGGTTGGTTTGAGATCCTGTTTGTGTGGGGCTGAGAATTGACTACTGATTGTTCTAGTTTTGTCTGTGAAGAATGTGGCAAAATCATCAGCTGTTATAGAAGTGGTGGGAGGTGGTGGAGGGGGACATAGGAGAGAATTGAATGCTTTGAAGAGATTACATGTGTCTAGAGCACTGTTGATCTCTTTGTGGAAATATTAAGATTTGGCAGTATGGACTTCAGTAGATAAAGATGAAAGCAAAGACTGATACATACTCAGGTCTGATGGATATTTTGATTTGCGCCATTTTCTCTCTGCTGCCCTGAGTTTGGTCCGATGCTCACGAAGAACATCGGATAACCAGGGGTAAGAAAAGGCAGTCCGTGCTGGCCTGGAGGAGAGAGGACAAATATCGTCTAGACAAGAGGTTAAAGTAGAGCATAAAGTGTCAGTTGCTGCATTCACATCCAGAGATGAGAAATGGGTTGGTGAGGGAAGAGAGGAGGATACTACAGAGGAAAGATGGGAGGGTGAAAGAGAGCGTATGTTTCGTCTAAAAGTAACTGGTATAGGGGTTGGTGGCACAGGCAGCAAAACGTAGTTTAAATGTAGTGAAGAAATGGTCAGAGATATGTAGGGGTTCTACCAAAATGTCTGCAATACAATTGCATGTGTAAATTAAGTCAAGTTGGTTGCCTGATTTGTGCCTGCTTGTAGTGGTAAGGC